TGCCCAGGCTGGAGTGCAATGGTGCGATCTCAGCTCACTCCAACCTCCGTCTCCCGGGTTCAAGCAATTCTTCTGTCCCAGCCTCCCGAGTAGCTGGGATTACAAGTGCCTGCCACCATGACCGGCTAATTTTGTATTTTTAGTAGAGATGGAGTTTCACCATGTTGGCAAGGCTGGTCTTGAACTCCTGACCTCAGGTGATCCACCCACCTCAGCCTCCCAAAAAGTTCTAGGATTACAGGCATAAGCCACTGCGCCCAGGTGAACTGTACATTTTAAATGGGTGAACTGTATGGTATATAAATTGGATCTCAATAAAGCTGTTAAAAAATATATCATCATCAAGCTTGTTTTTCATCTGCTTCTAAAAAGTTAAACTCCAGGGCACTGAGTTTATCTCCAACTTTGAATGGAAGATCCAGAGAAAGTGTGGCTACTTCAAGGTTAAATGAGATGATGTGCACAGAAATTAGGAATAGACTGAGTGGCAGTGCTAGCCTCAGGGGTGAGCTGATGAAAGTCAGGCTCTCTTAGTTCAAGTACCTCTGACAGCGCCCACCTTTGTGGTTCCAGTCAAGCCCATGTGAGGCAGTCACTCAGGGCAGCAGCCCCCTCGCTGGCCTCCCCACTTCCACTCACACCCACTCTGGCCCACTACCTATACCTCACATTCCTGCCCAGGGTCCCGCAACGGTCCCATCTCACTGAGAACCTGCCCGCACTCCTCTTTGCCTGCACAGGCTCACTCAGCCTCAGGACCGCAATGCCTGCCTGTTCCTTCTGCCTAGAATGCTCATACCCCAAATCTTGGCAAGGCTCTCCACTTCACATATTTTATGTTTCTGTACTATCATCAGCTCCCCAGAGACCACTGTGTCTAAAAACACTCCCCCCACCATCATCCTCTACCATCTTCATAGCTTGCTTTAGTTTTCTTTTCTTTTTCTTTTTTTTGAGACGGAGTTTTGCTCCTGTTGCCCAGGCTGGAGTGCAATGGCATGATCTCGGCTGACCACAAACTCTGCCTCCCGGGTTCAAGCGATTCTCCTGCCTCAGCCTCCCGAGTAGCTGGGACTATAGGCATGTGCTACCACACCCAGCTAATTTTGTATTTTTAGGTTTCTCCATGTTGGTCAGGCTGGTCTCAAACTCCCGACCTCAGGTGATCTGCCTGCCTCAGCCGCCCAGTGTTGGGATTACAGATGTGAGCCACCGAGCCCGGCCACTTGCTTTAGTTTTCTTTGTCACAATGTTAGCTGGAATTCCTTGCGGCTTACTGGTTTATTTCAGTGTGTCTCTCACTAGAATGTAAGGGCAGGATTGGATCCAGTGGGCCTCATTATCTCCAGGGTCTGGCATAAATGGGCACTCAGCAGCTATTTGCTGAATCAATAAACACGTGTGTCATTGACAGATAACAACCTGGCCTGGCCTGCCCATCACCTTTGGGCCTCTCCAGTGTTCCTGGTGCACTGTTAATCACAGGACCCAGTCCTCATAGACATGGGAAGGGGGAAGCACATGACCTCATCTTAGCCAATCAGAACCTTCCCTGTGGCTGTCACATACCGAGGAGCTTAATTCAGGGGAGGGAAAGTCAACAGGTTGAAGGCTAGCCAAGAGCTGGAGAATCCTGGCACACAGCAGGAAACCCTGAAGCTGGCCCTACTTGAGGACTTTCTGGCCAAATGAACCAATACACTCCATGTTGGGCTTAAGTGAGTTTAGGTTGGTTTTCTGCCACCTGGCCTCTGACAGCTAGAGGACACTCTTGCCTGCTGAGTGCCTGGTCCACTGAGATGCTCAGTTAATGGCTGAGACTCTATAAGGAGAAGTGACCACCCGCAGAAGGATGGCCAGCCCAACAGCCCCTCCCACTGCTGGCAATTGCATTGTGGTTTTCCTCTGGGGAACTGAGCTCCCCCACTGGCGCAGGTTCAGGTGGGCGTATGATCCCTGTGTCACCAGTGAGGAGCCTCTGAGCAATGAGAGGCAACGGGCATCAGCATTAGGACTTCTTTTTCCCCCATGAGGATTTCTTTTGAAGTTACTAGGCAAGGCCAGGTGTGTTGGCTCACAGCTGTAATCCCAGCACCTTGGGAGGCTGAGATGAGCAGATCACCTGAGGTCAGGAGCTCGACAGCAGCATGGCCAACATGGTGAAACCTCGTCTCTACCAAAAATACAAAAATTATCTGGGTGTGGTGGCATGCACACGTAATCCCAGCTACTCGGGAGGCTGAGGCAGGAGAATAGCTTGAATCTGGGAGGCAGAGGTTGCAGTGAGCCAGGATCTTGCCACTGCACTCCAGCTGCCTGGGTAGCAGAGCAAGACCAAGAGGGATAGGGAAAGGGAAAGAGAAAGGGGAAGGGGAAGGAAAAGGGAAGGAAGAAAGAGAGAGAGGGAGGGAGGCAAGTTAAGAAGGAAGGGAGGAAAGAAGGAAGGAAAGAAAGGGCAAAAGGAGCTGTCTACTGTGGCGGCTGAGCTGCTGGGGGGCACTGCTGTCACACCCTGGGGAGTGCTGCCCCAATATGAAGACTACACACTAAACAGTACAGCTCAGGGAGGGAGAGAGAGTTCCTAGGGCATTGTTAGGGCCCCGGAGCCCCATCCAGGCATGCCAAAAGCTGGACCTATCCTGGGGCTTTTCCTTACTGTGAATTATCTTTATTTCTGTGGCTAAGCCACTAGATTGGTTTTTCTGCCACTTGCACTGGAAGCATCCTGGTCAATACTACAAGAACCCCTGAGCCCCAGCCCGGCTAGGCCCTGCCCTCGGCAAGAGTGAGTGGCACTCACATCAGGCTTGAAGGGCGGCTCCAGCATGCCGGCTCCCAGCCGCTTGAAGTTCAGCTTCTTAAAGAGGGGGTGCTCCTTCACCTCACGGGCACTGCCCCCACGACACCCCAGACGTTCGGCGGGGTCCTTGCAGAGGAGCTGTGGCAAAGCAGGGGAGAGGAGGGCAGGCAGGCGGGCAGGTGAATGGCTGGGAGGGAGGGAAAGTTGAGTCCTCCCTAGCCTCGGTGGGCCGGGCTTCCGAGAGCTGCCGTACCTGGGAGCACAGTGAACGGGCCTGTGGGGAAAAGCGCTCCGAATACTCCTCGGGCACCTCCTTCACCAGCCGCTCCACCTCCTCCCGCTTGATCTTCTTCTTCCTCTGCTGGAAGGGTGACTGGCCTGCGATCATCTCATACAGGAGGCAGCCTAGCGCCCACCAGTCAGGGCTGAATGTGTACCGTTCGTTCTTCACCACCTCTGGAGCTGGGCAGGTGGCATGAGAGTTAGGACTGGGCAGGAGGTGGGGAGTGGACCCTCAGGCCCCAGGAACGCCAGTGGGACATTACGTCTGGGATCCACTCAAACCCACTGGCCAGGCAGGCACCGTCCCAACTTGGAGGGGACCTCGGCCAGTAGGAGAGCATCAAGGGGAGTGGATACGGCCCTGCAGGAGGCTACATCCAGGGTCCCTGGGTCTTCAGATTTTACACAAGAAGTCAGAAATCTTATTTTGCATGTGAAACCATCTGGCTTACTAAAAACAATTTGACTTAAACACAAATGTAGGCGAAATTGGGCCCACATGGCTACCAGTTTGCAACTTCTGGATTTAATATCAGCAAGAAGTAAGAAGGAAACTCCTATTTTCTGAATACCTCCTACCTGCCAGGGCAGCCCCATGGGGAGTTTTTTCTGTACTCTCTCTTTTCATCTTCCAGGCAGCCCTGGGAGGCAGGCATGATGAGCGTTTTACAGTCGAGCAAAGTGAGGCCGGGAGCAGTGGAGTGTCTGGTTCAAGGCCACACAAAAGGCAAGAGGTGGAGCCTGCAGAGCCAGGACTCTGTCTCCCTTGTCTCTTGGTTCCCAAGTGGAATATGAGGCCTCACACTGGCCCCTCCACTGGCTTCCTTCACAGATGGGCACAAGGAGGGCAGGGCCTGGGGCCATGGAAACAAGTTGGGTTTCTCTCCTCCATTCCCCGGTAGCCACTTGCAAGCTCAGCCATAGTGGGGTTTAGTAAATATCTAGCAAACAAATAGTGTGGCTTCACAACTGTGTGTGGTCCTGGCTGAGTCTCGGTCTCCTAACCTCTAGAAGAGGAGCACTGGGATGGACCCTTTCTATTGAGACCCCTTTTGAGAGGAGACTCCCAAACAGAAGTGGTACGGCTGGGTGGGTGGACAGTGAGGGAACTCAGGAGGCCAGTGGGCCAGGGCAGGGAAGACTCACCCATGTAGCCCACGGTGCCCACACGGCCTTTGATGGTCTGGCCCTCGGGTACATGCACAGCCAGTCCCAGGTCGGAGATGCGGATGTGGCCTGAATGTGGGTGGAGAAACAGGTAGACCCGTTAACAGGCCAGGCCTCTGCGTCTCACCCCACCGTACCCCACCCCAGGTGCCCCCACTCACCGTGGTCATCCAGCAAGATGTTCTCTGGCTTCAGGTCCCTGTGCAGAGAGAAGAGCAGGGTTAGATGCTGCTCAGTTTGCCAGGGAGTCCGACGGGACAGCTCCTTCTAGCTCACTTGCCTCCTGGGGCCAGGTGTGGAGCAGGGTACAAGACTCATTTGCTGATAGGGCAACAGACAGCCCTGCTCTCCCTGGCAACAGCCCAAACTCAAGGGAGCAGAGGAAGGATCTACACAGCCAGGACACCGAGGACTCTCTAGGTGAGTGGAAGGCAGCTCCACCTCGAGGGGCCTCCCCAGTGGCCTTGCTTATCCATTGGTGGCTGACTCTGCCTTTCCTCTCTGTCAAATGGGGCTACTCATCTGTCCCCTGACCATCCTGTTGTGAGGCTCATAGGAAGTCGGCAACAATCAGAGCCAGGGTTCTTCCTTACCCAGCCCTGTATGCCAGGCACTCTGTACTTATCTCACTAGGCCCCTTCAACAACCTGGGAAGTAGGAATTATAGTCTCTGCTTTCTAGAAAAGGAAGCAGTGTTGGGAGCAGGGAGCAGACCGGCCCAGGGTCACACGGTGGGGGATGGAGGTGTGTGTGACAAAGTCAGGATTCCCCCGTGGGTCTCCCAGAGCCCAAAGCCTAGGCCCGGGCCACTCAAGTTGGCCTGCTGTGTTAGTTAAGCCGGTGCCACAGCCCCGCACCAATGTCCTTCTGCAGTCTGGCCTGATTGGCAGCCTTGGCTACCTCCATCCAGGTGCAGCTGTAGCCCCTGGCAGGGAGGGCTAAGCCCCTGGGGTGGCCGAGCCCTCCCCACCTGTACACGATGCGCTCCCGGTGCAGGTCCTCCAGGCCGCAGCAGATCTCGGCGGTGTAGAAGACAGCCCGTGCTTCAGAAAAGCCAGCATGGCCCATGTGGTAGATGTGGAACTTGAGGTCGCCCCCATTCATCAGCGTCAGCACCAGGCACAGCGCGTCCTTGGTCTCATAGGCATAGGCCAAGCTCACCTGTGGCCGAGGGGACCCAAGCCCTCAGGCAGGAGCTGCGGGGTGCTTGGTGGCAGGGCCGCCCAAAAAAGCCTTCTTGGTGCCACTCCTTGGGCCCAGCCTGCTCCCCAAGCCTGGCATCAACACCCCAACCCCAACCTTCCCGGCATCCCGTGTGGGAGGGTGGGGCCTGGGGGGTGGGGAGGGCCAGTGCACCAGCGTGGCCAAGGGGAAGGGAGTCTCCTTCTGTACTTACTACAAACCTACTGTTCACTTTCTCCAGGATCTGCTTCTCATTCAGCGCCATGGCCTCCCCTTTCCGCTTCTTGATCCGCTTTTTCTCTAGCTTCTTGCAGGCATACATCTTGCCTGTGGCCCTCACCTGGCAGGCACACACCTGTGGCCAGGCAGACAGGGGCGAATGGGGGACAGCTGCACCCTGGCTAGGCGTCCAGGGGCTGGTCCAGGGCCCAACGTACCCACCCTGTTCACTCTTCCTGGCCACTCACCTCCCCAAAGCCACCTTTGCCCAGGACTCGGTACTGCCTGAAGGTGTTTTTGGTCACTGGCTGCCTGTGGCAAGGGGTGGGGAAGCAAACGCTGGCTGAGCAGGAGAGCCCAAGGCCTATGAAGAACCCCAGCGACCTGGCCTGTCCCGGCCCAGCCTTCAAGGAGCTCACCTTTCCAGCCACTTCCACTGCAGGAAACGGTTGAAGTAGATGCTGTCGAGGTAGTCAGCAAATGGGGCCACGCTCAGGTACTCGTGGGTCAGCCTGTTGAGGAAAGGCAGGCCCAGCTCACCCGCCAGCCCCCAACACCCCAGGCTCTCGACTTGTTGGGCCAGGCCTCTCTTTCTGTACAGGCTCAGCCCACAGGCATCATTGTCAGCCGGTCCTCCTGCTAACCCCCGAGCTGGGAGACACATAGCCTGTGCTGAAGCTGTCGGTGCTACTGAGAGGGGAGGCAGCCTGCCCAGGTCACACAGCAGGGACAAGGCCAGGGCCGGGCAGCTGAGCTCCCTCACCAGCCACTGAGCTGTTCACAACCTTCCTGGCCCACAGAAGCCCCCTCCTCTGGACACAATTTTAGGCTTGTGGGCAGGGACAGGCTTACCGGGTGAGTTCCTGGAAGAGGTCTTTGCAGGGCCCCTGCTCCAGTCGCTGGGTGCAGTTCGTCACCAGCTGCTGGGGGACCTCAGGGATGAGGTCAGGACCCTGGGAACAAGCCCCAGAGAGGTCAGTGCAGGGGTTCCCTTGGACGGCTGCCCATTCCCAGGGGAGAGGGGTCAGGCATCTCAGGCGGTGCCATAAGAGGCTGCAGGCCGGGGGTGTGCCAGCCAGCCTGGTTGCTGAACTCCTTCCTGCTCCCCACCCACGAGGCAGAGCGCAGCAGAGCCACTGGGAGGCCGTCTGGCCAGAGCCCAGCCCATACCCTGGGCTGCATGCCCGCCGTGCTGCCTGGAGCAGCTCCAGGGCAGTCTCTGCCCAGGCTGTGGTCACTCTTCTCCCTGTCACTGGGCTCTAGTGGCTGCCGTCATCTCTCCATCACTGCTCACTCACCGTGTGGCTCAGAAAATTCTGCATTAGCCGCCGCCCACATGCCTTCCGCTTCTCATCCGGGGTCACTTCATACTCGGCCTGCAGGGTGGAAAGCAGAGAAGCTGGAGGTCTGGGCAGAGCAAGCAGCAGGTGTGGGGAGGAAGGGCACGTGAGGCTGAGGCCTCGACCACCCATGGGGCTGGGCGGGGCTGGGCTGCACTCACCACCCCATCCAGGAAGGCGATGCAGCGGCTCAGCTCCGGCCTCGTGGCACAGAACTCTCGAAACAGCAGGCGCCCGATGGGCTGCCGCTCGCACAGGCTGTGGTAGTCACGCTCTGTGGGCAGAGATGGGAGCTGCTGGGTCCACAGCCCCAGAGCCCATGGATGGGGCACTCCTGCCCATACCACCAGGCCCTAGGCCCCCACAACAGCTTCCAGCTCTGCAGTGTGGCAGCCATGATCTTCTTCGGAACCCTCACCGCAACCCTGAGGTAGGCACAGCTATATTGGGTCTGTGAGGCCCAGAGAAGCTAACTGACTAGCTCAATGTCACACAGCCAGGAGTCTGGCTCCAGAACCCAGGCCTCCACCCACTTCCCTGCGTTGTCTCCTGGTTTACACGACTTGCATATGTCACAGTACTGGGGTTGGGTGCGGTCTGTGAGGTTCCGGCCCAGCCCAGCCTGGGCCAGGCCCACACCTGCTGCCTGCCTGGCGAAAGTGCGAGAGGAAGCTGTGGCTTCCGGCAAGCTCTCAGCTGGGCCTCCTTCCCAGGAGGTGGAAGCGGCCTGGGTGCGCTCTGCCCACGTGCGGGCCACCGGGGGGCCTCAGCAACCTTAGGTGCTGCTCAGACCTGGGGCCTTGGCCAAGATCAGCAGGAACTGGGGTCCTGGGCCCTTCTGTCTCCTCCCAGGAGTAACCCTGTCACACTGCCCAGGCTGAGGGCTTCTGATCAAGGCTTTGCTGGGCACCACTCAAGGCTGGGCCTGGGAGGCTAAGACCCAGCCTGGGGCTCCCAAGGTAGTCAGTCTGTGGGCTAGCCTAGCTGCCGCTCCTTCTATCCTGTGGGTGCTGCTCACCCTAGCTGGCTCTCCTTTCCAAAGCGGACTCATCTGCCCCAATCTGCCCCTGCCCTATTCCTGACACCATTTCAACCACATCCAGCAGTGTGACCCTGTTTGTTGTCTGCTCTCCACCCATCCCAAGCCTGGGAACTGAAACTAGGCTCAATGGTGCAGCCCCATCCTACTGCTCACTGGAGCCACCAAGCCTGCCCCTCTGCCCCAAGGCAAGGTCTCAGGGGAGGCTCCCCCGGCCCCAGCAAGGCCCCTCGCCTCAGCATCCCCAGCCTCTGCCCAGGCCTCACCGAGGCTGAGCCGCAGCTCTTCACACTGGCTGATGTGGGGGAACTGGAGCATCTGCCGCCATTTCTTGCTTTTGCCTTTGCGATTCCCACCGCCACCTGTGGGAGCAATTGGGCACTGGGTCTCAAGTCCCACTGCCCCAGGACTGACTCTGGGTCCACAGCGAGGTTCAGGGCCTCTAGGGCCCAGCCAAGGCAGAGCCCGCTCTGGGCAGCACCTTGGGCCTTCCCAAGCACGTTCCAGCATGCTCTTGCCGCGTTCCAGGACACACGTGGTTCTCCTGCTTCCGGCTCCTGAGCTGGGAGAGCCAAGAGGAGCAATGAGGTTGCTGGGGGAGGAGATAGCTCTGACAATGGGTCCAGCCTCAGTTGCTTCGCACCAGGTAGGAGTTCCCACAGTTAAGAAAGGAGAGAAGGGCATCACAGTGGTGGGTGCAGAAGGCCCAGGAGGGAAAGAATCTAGGACAGCGGGGCAAGCCTGAGAGATGCACAGGGCAGCCTGGAACAAGAGGGCTCCCAGACCTCTATCGCCAGGCTCCACATCATGGCTATCAGATGCTCAAGCAAGGCAGGGGCAAGGGGAGACACTCAGGACTTTCCTTCCCCTGCACACAGGGGTTTCCCCGGCCCCCTGTCTGCCTTGCTTGACCTCGCAGACCCCCCATCTGCAGCGGCTGAGGCCACAGCAGTTCAATTGCCTGCAGAGCCCAACAGGTGTGGGAAACGTGGGCCAGATGCGAGATGACCAGGAACAGAGAAGGCCCCTCTAACAGGCAGCTGTAGCACAACGCCAGCAGATTGCCTGATTGCTGCGAGGCAGGTTTCTGGCTCAGTGTGGCCAGCTCTTCTGATTTTGAAAAAGCAGCTAGAAATTCACTCTTACATAAAATATTGGCCCCCATTTTATTTAAAAAAACAAAACAAAACAAAACAGGGCCAGGCACAGTGGGTCACACCTGTAATCCCAGCACTTTGGGAGGCCGAGGCAGGCAGATCATCTGAGATCGGGAGTTCAAGACCAGCCTGACCAATATGGAGAAACCCCATCTCTACTAAAAATACAAAATTAGCCAGGCGTGATGGCACATGTGTGTAATCCCAGCTTGCAGTGAACTGAATGCATGCCATTGCACTCCAGCCTGGGCAACAAGAGTGAAACTCTGTCTCAAAAAAATAAAAAAAAGCCAGGCATGGTGGCTCACGCCTGTAATCCCAGCACTTTGGGAGGCCAAGGTGGGTGAATCACAAGGTCAGGAGTTCAAGACCAGCCTAGCCAATATGGTGAAACCCCATCTCTACTAAAAATACAAAAATTAGCCAGTGTGGTGGCTCACACCTGTAGTCCCAGCTACTTGGGAGGCTGAGGCAGGAGAATCGCTTGATCCCGGGAGGCAGAGGTTGCAGTTAGCCAAGATCACGCCACTGCACTCCAGCCTGGCGACAGAGCAAGACTCTGTCTCAAAAAAAAACAAAAACAAAAAATCCTCACTGCAGCCAAATAAATATAATGTGTCAGAGAGGGAGCCAAATGTGTGTGGCCTGTAGGCCACGAGGTTTAGGAGGGAAGGGGCCTGAGCCTCCCAAAGCTGGGTCTGAATTTTTTTTTTTTTTTTTAATTTTAAAGATGGGGTTTCTCCATGATGGCCAGGCTGGTTTGAACTCCTGACCTCAGGTGATCCACCCACCTCGGCCTCCCAAAATGCTAGGATTATAGGCGCAAGTCACTGCGCCCGGCCAGGGTCTGAATTTCTGATTTACACCGTAAAGCCATCACTTGCTATCTGTGAACCTCGGTTTCTCCATGTGTGTTATGTGGTGAATAGGAGACACTGTCCGCATTGAATAGGGCTGAGTCAAAAGGTGAGCCCCAGCTCCAACAATTCTGTGGCAACTTTAGACAGCCACTTACTCATGCTGGGCTTCAGTTTCCCCTCTGGTTTTCCAGTCCTGTATCTATCTGGCCTAGGTGAGGGCAGGTGGTGCAAGGGCAGAAGTTGCCTTCTAGGGAGGGGGCAAAGCTAGGTCCCTCGATGACTCCCTGACCTAAGCTGCCTGGAGGAGGAAGTATTGCAGGGGCCCATTGAGAAACCTGCTAGAGGCCTCCAGCAGCCTGCTGAGAGAATGCCCAGCAGTCATTGCTTCACTGTTAGTGAGCAACAGACCCCCACCCCTCAACCCAGGGCAAGGCCTTCCCAGAAAGGGACCTCCTCCCCCACCCCCACAGGTCCCTCACCCTACCCTCCATCCGCCAGCCTCCCACCCTCAGTTACTTCCTCCTTCCCGCCTCCCAGCCACATCAAGGCAGCAGCAAAGAGTCACATGCAAATATCCTGTCCTGGGTGGCCCAGTCAGTGGTGCTCCTCCCCACCCTCTCTGTCCCCTTTCGGTGTCCCTGGGCCCCTTCCCCATGCCTCTGAGTGCCTGGGAAAAGAAGGGGTACTGAGGGAAGGCTCAAGCCCCAACATCCCACTCCATCCTCACAGCAACTCTTCCAGAGAAGGCCCAATATCATAAGAAAACTGAGGTTCCAAGGTGAGGAATCAATTCACCCAAGATCTCCAAGCCCAGAGGTGACACTGACAGGTCCCGTACCCAGCTCCCTATGGCCACAACCCAAGCTCCTTTCCCACCCCAAATGTGGCTAGCATCTATTACGTGCCAACTCTATACACATACCAAGGGTTCCCAAATCACTTGGGGCCTCAGATTACTTGGGAAGATGTCAAGGGCCCTAGCCCCAAGCTCATGAAAAGCCAGTTCATGAGTTGGTTCTGATGTAGTCCATCCAGGGGCCTGGGCTCAGGACTCAATGACAATCAGGATTTCCTTTAGTCTTTATGTCCCTCAGCCAACCATTCCACAAAAAGGAGTACTGAAGTTGAGAGAGAAGAGACGTGTTTAAAGCCATGCAGGTAGGCCAGGCACAATGGCTCACACCTGTAATCCCAGCACTTTGCAGGGCCAAAGGTGGGAGGATCACTTGAGGTCAGGAGTTCGAGACCAGCCTGGCCAACATGGTGAAACCCCATCTCTACTAAAAATACAAAAATTAGCTGGGTATGGTGGCACACACCTGTAGTACCAGCTACTTGGGAGGCCAAGGCAGAAGGATCATTTGAACTCGGGAGGCGGAGGTTGCAGTGAGCCGAGATTGTACCAGCCTGGGCAACAGAGTGAGACTTCATCTCAAAAAAAAAAAAAAAAAAAAACATGCAGGTGGGAGGAGCAGAGCCAGGTTGTGGTAAGGGTTCTCTAGTGGAGATACCAGTCCCCAGTCTGGCCACACCACCCTTTGCCTTGCCCACAGCCTGACAAAGCTTGTCCAATGGTACCCACACTCTCTGGCCAGGCAGTGCCATCAGCAGGCCTGAGGCCTTGACTGGCTATAGCCCTAGAGAAGGCCTGTTTTGGCCCTCCCCACCCCTCCTCCCTGGCTGGTTGGATGACGAGGCAGAACAGAATCGGCAGATGCCCCCAGAGGCTGGGAGGAAGGCCTAGCCCATGGGCTTGATAAGGGACAGGGGATAAAACAGGCTCTCCAGGCACTGAGGACCCAGCCTGCCATGCCATTTCTGGGCTGCATCTCACCATGGCACTGGGTGGACAGGGGGTAATTCTCGGGCACCCAGCTGGAGGTTCCTCTGGGCTTCATGTAGAATAGGCATCCTGTGTCTTAGGCCTGAGTCAATCACAATCCTGCTGTGTGACCTGATGAGCCTCAGCTTCCCACATGTAAAATGGGGCAGAAAGGTGAAGCAGATGACCTCTTAAGCCTGGAAGTCCAGCAAAGGGTGGAAAAACATCATAATCTCTCTCCCTGCCCTGGAATTCCAAAAAGAAGCATCTTGTTTACTGCTGCTTCCCCAGCACCCTGGACAAGGTGGGACAGAGTGGGTGGTCAGTGATGTTACTGAGGTGGGGTGTGGCAGGTGGGAGCTGACTGACCACAGGGCAGTAAGGACCAGGTCTGGTCCTTCTGTGTCTCCCAGGACCTACACAGAGCCTGATAATATCTGGGGTGGGAGCCACGAGGAGCTACACACACACTCGGTCCACCAGACTGGTTTCCCCAGCCAAGCCTTTGCACTTATAATACTGACAGCGCAGCATGCTTTGCTTCCACTTCTTTCTGTGTCCGCTAGCCCTACTAGACCATGGGCTCCCTGAGGGCAAATATCCATTCACCTTTGCCCTCAGTGTTCTGAGGCACGGAGCAAGTGGCAGTTCTATAGGTACCATTTGTGGCCAGGAGTTTCCCCAAGTCTGGTGGGCTGTGTTACGCAGAGGCTCCGTTAATTCATTCTCCAGCCTTTACCTAACACCAACTTTGTGCGGGATTAAGCTAGGTGCTGGGGTCTGGGCCCATAGCACGTGGGGCATCTTTACACATCTCACCTGGAAGAGGCCTCAGTGAGGCTCTCCTGGAGCCCCGGTCCCACCCTTCCCTCTTCGTCTCTCCTTTCACTCCTTCACCACCCCACGCCGCGACGGCGGCGGCCTGACCCCCGCCCCTTCCTGGGCCCCGAATCCCGGGGGCAGGTGCAGAGAAGCAAGACGACGGGCCGGAAAGGCTCGTGTGTCTAGGCGAAGTGTAGGGCATAGAGCCAGCGGGCCTAGGGGATCCGAAGGCTGGGTCGCCCCGCGGAGCTCAGACGCCGCGCACCCACGCTCCCTGCACCCGGGCCCGGCCACCCGCCCGGCCGCCTCACCTTCCCGGGCCTTGAGTAGCACCGTGTTCGCTACGATGTTCTCGAGCTCCATGGGCTGCGGCGCCGCCGGGCCCGCCGGGCCGCGCCGCCGGCCGGGATCGCGCGCGAGAGCCGGGGCCGGATGGCGATCGGCGCGGCTCGGCTCGGCTCGGCACGGCTAGCAGTGACCGCGCAGCGGCCTCCCCGGCCTCCCCGGCCTCCCCGGCCGCCGCCGCCGCCTGCCGCGCACTCTCCGCCCCCTCCCGGCGGGCCACCCAGGCGCTGCCCCGCCCCGCTCCGCCCTCTGTTTACCTTATTCGACCAATCACCAGGCGGAAGCTCCCCGCGCCGTCTTCCCATTAGCCTTCCTCTTCATCTTTCCCCCGCCCCCTGAGCTGGGGACTCGCTCAAAGGAGCGTACGGGGGCTGGACCAATACGTCACCTCTTCCTGGTTGGTCTGAGAGCGGGGTTCAGCCCCTAGGTTCGAATTTCTAGGCTTTCGTAGGATACTGAACTGCCAATTAGGGCCGAGCCCTCCGCCGGGACCACGGAGGTGGGTACTCTGGGGCACGCCCAGGAGATCGAATGTGTGATTGGGTGAAGAAAATGTCCGTCATCTCAAATAATGCATTTTCATTGGGCGACCGCCTGAAGGTGTGGCCCGGCAGCCTTTGGCTCGCAGATGGCTTTTCTAGGGTTTTGTTGGGGACGCGCTCGGTATCTTGGGCTTCCTGCAGGCTGGCAGGGAGTTTGTTTGGGCCACTTCTCTGGCCGTATTCCCTTGGGTCGGCCCCAACTAGGAGGGAGCATATCGAAAGCAGGAGAGACAGGGAGGAGGCTGCGGCCTCCGCAGCGGTCCCCCGACCTGTCGCCCGGTCGCCGCAGGCGCCCAGCCCGGCCCCCGCAGCCGGATGTTGTGATTTCTCTCCACCCACTCGGCCTCGCCTTCCCTCGGCCTCTGCTGCCTTATAAGGCAGCGCTACCACCCCTAGACGTTGGGAAGAGTTCACACCCATTATACAGGTGGGGAGCTGGGGCGCCGGACGTTAAGTGGCTGGCTCCAGCCCGAAGACTACGGAGAAAACAAGGCCAAAATCTGACAGCTATTCAACACCTTGTAGCTTAACATCCCACTTCCTCCACCCCCACTTCACACAGCAGGAAACAGGCTTGCCCAAACTCTGCTAGTAAGGCAGAGCCGGATTCATCTAGGCTTCTCTGGTCCCCTAGTCATTCATTCATTCGAAAATACTTACAGAGCAACCTCTTTGTGCCAGGCACCGAGTCAGGTGCTGGGGAATACAGTGGTGGCAGCAAGATAGCCAGGCTCCCTGTTTACTTGCTAGAAGTGGAGGGAGCAAGTGAGGGCTGGGTGAGATAAAGATAATTATTCTGTAAATAAACAAATAGATGGTTTTAGAGAGTGACAACTGTTCTTGGGACGTTATGACAAGATAATGTGTATGACACTCTCAGGGTGTGACATTTGAGCAGATCTAGTAGGAGCAACACCAAACGCAGAGGCTCTGAGCCAGACTAAGTGCTGTGTTCAGGGAACAGGAGAAGGCGTCTGCAGCTTCTGGGCCCAGTGGTCTGAGATGAGACAGAAGGGACAACGGCACTAGCTAGGTCATGGAGGGCCCTGACCACATCCAGGAGGTTGAAGTGTTTTTGCTAAGTGAAATGTCAAATATTTGAAAGAATGATTTATATTTTAAAAGTCTTACTCTTTCTGGTGGATTCCTAGGTGGCCAAGAGTGGAAGCAGAGCAAGCAGTCAAGAGGTTACAGAATTCCAGGAGAGAGAGATGGCAGCAGCCTGGACTAACAAGGTGGCAGTAGAGATGGAGAAAAGTGAATGGATCTAGGGAATTAAGATAAATACCTTAAAAGAGGGAAACCCAGGAGCTAGTGGAACACAGGGAAGGTACCTCACTTAGTGAAGGCTGTTGTGTCCAAGTGAAATCTGAAGATTAAGTGAAAATGTGCAGGTTATTGGCATAGGGAGGGAAAGAGCCTTCTGGACAGAGGGGTATCACACGTTCAAAATTCCATAGAGGAAGTGAGGAAGGGCTCCTGCGTTCAGCACCTAATGGCAGAGCATCCAGCTAGAGTTTAAAGGTACACAATGGGGAGGACATGGGGCGCAAGAAATTAGGCTGAAGGCTTAGGAGGGACCTGGATCAGTGAGGGCCTTGAGAGCCAGGTAAGAAATTTCGGACTTCATCTTGCGGGTGGTAGGGAGCTGTCAAGGAGGTTTTGAGTAGTGTGATCAGATTTGGCTTTCATAGAGAGCTCTGGGCTGCAACTGTGATGGACAAGCTCCAGGGAGGGGGCTGGCTTGCTGTTTTAGTGCCCAATATCTGAAGCCTTTCCCATTTGAGAAGAATCCTATGAGATGTGGAGGAAGACCCTGCCTTCCACTAGGTAAATCAAAGAAGGGAGGCAGAATTTTTTCTCCCATGTCTCTGGTAGCTGGAGCACTATTCTAATGTTTCCAGCCAGGTCTTTGACTCTAGAACAAGTGACCAGCACAAGACATCAGAGGGATCATTTAGAATTCATTGTGGAGACAGTGAAGGTCAGGGGAGGGAGGGAAGGCAGTCAAGCTAGGCCCTTCCTGGGGGAAGGGGATTCAGCAAGCCCCCCAGCCTGTCCCATCCATTCCTCATCTGCTTAGTTACCCAGAATTGGTTTCCTTGTATGCAGGCCAGATATCCTAAGACCGATGAGAGACCTTTCGGAAGGAACCTTTAGAGAGAGGAGTGATGGTGCCCTACACTGGGGCAGTGGCCAGGACATGCAAACAGGTGGACAGATGGAGAGCTGGCATGGAGCTGGCATGAACAGGACTTGGCAATAGATATGGGGTGAAGAGATGTCACTCAGAAAATTCAGGTTCCAGCTCTTCAAGCCATTTTCTACCTACAGCCAAAGTGATTTTTTTTTTTAATAGAGACGGGGTTTCTCCATGTTGGTTAGGCTGGTCTTGAATTCCTGACCTCAGGTGATCCGCCTACCTCGGCGTCCCAAAGTGCTGGGATTACAGGTGTGGGCCACCGCACCAGGCAGTTATCTTTGTTAAAAGGGAAGGTTGGCTGAGTGCAGTGGTTCACGTCTGTAATCCCAGAATTTTGGTAGGCCAAAGCAGGTGGATCACCTGAGCTCAGGAGTTCGAGACCACCCTGGCCAACACTGTGAAACTTCATCTCTATTAAAATATAAAAAATTAGCTGGGCATGGTGGTGCACTCCTGTAGTCCCAGCTACTCGGGAAGCTGAGGCATGAGAGTGGCTTGAGCCCTGGAGGCAGAGGTTGCAGTGAGCCAAGATCATGCCACTGCACTCCAGCTTGAGTGACAGAGCAAGACTCCATCTCAAAAAAAAAAAAAAGGAATAAATAAATAAATAAATAAATAAAAGGGAAAATCTGCCACCAACCATCTGAGATGTGTGTGTCTAGGAATTTATTTTATAAATATCATTGCACTCAAGCAAAAATACGAAATGCTTAAGGTTGGTGAGGTGTGGTGGCTCACGCCTGTAATCCCAGCACTTTGGGAGCCTGAGGCAGGTGAATCACTTGAGCCTAGAAGTTCAAGACCAGCCCGACCAAATGGCAAAACTCCATCTCTACTAAAAATACAAAATTAGCTGGTCATGGAGGTTGCGATGAGCTTAGATCGCGCTGCTGCACTCTAGCCTGGGCGACAGAGTGAGACTCTGTCTCAAAAAAAATAAAAAGGAAAGAAATGCTGAAGGCTATTCATTGTAGCACTGTCCAAAAAGATGGATCACATCTAATTGTCCTTAATAGAGATTAAGTAAAATGTGGTCCTTTCCTACCCAGGAATACTATGTGGCTGTTAAAAAAAATTGTGGGAATGCTCATATACTGATATAAACAATCACCAAGATATATTATTAAATGGAAAAATTCAAGGTGCAGAACAGTGTGCAAGGCTTGCATAAGAAGCATCTGGAGCCAGGCACAGTGGCTCATACCTGTAATCCCAGCAGTTTGGGAGGCTGAGGCAGGCTGATTACCTGAGATTGGGAGTTCAAGACCAGCCTGGCCAATGTGGTGAAACCTCATCTCTACTAAAAAAACACAAAAATTAGCCAGGAATGGTGGCATGAGCCTGTAATCCCAGCTGCTCGGGAGGCTGAGGCAGGAGAATCCGTTGAACTCAGGAGGCGAAGGTTGCAGTGAGCTGAGATGGCACCATTGTACTCCATACTCCAGCCTGGGTGACAGAGTGAGACTGTCTCAAAAAAAACCCAAAAGTTCATTTCTTACGTATACCACATGTCCAACACAGCTTGTTGGGTGGTGGCATGGCACTACACATAGTAGTCACTCAGGGCCCCAGAATGATAGGGGCTTCATTGCAATTTGTGCTTCTACAATGAGAGGTAGTAAAAGGAAATGGAAAATGTGGTAAATCATACAACAGTCCTTAAAGCTTGCACCCAAAAGTGACACAAGTCACTTCTGCTCACATTTTATTGGTCAAAGCAAACCACACGGCCACAACTAGCTTTAAAGGGGTCGGGAGAAGGGCTGGGTGCAGTGGCTCATGCCTGTAATCCCAGCACTTTGGGAGGCTGAGGTGGGTGGATTACCTGAGGTCAGGAGTTTGAGACCAGCCTGGCCAACATGGTGAAACCCTGTCTCTGCTAAAAATATAAAAACTTGCTGGGTATGGTGTTGCGCACCTTAGTCCCAGCTACTCAGGAGGCTAGGGTGGGAGAATCACTAGAACTCAGGAGGCAGAGGCTGCAGTGAGCTGAGATGGTGTTGCTGCACTCCAGCCTGGGAGACAGAGTGAGACTCTGTCTCAGTACATACATACATACATACATACATACATACATACAAGTGGTGGGGATATACAACATTACTACAGCAGAGTATATTTTCTAAAGATGAGTGTAGCAATGCATTCCCATCCCACGGGCACTTCTGCAGTGGAACCTTGCCACCCCCGCAGCAAGAGACAGAGTCTAATTTCCCTCCCCTTGAGTTTGGTCTCACCTTAATGACTCTTGTGATTGGTAGAAAATAGTGGAAATGAGGCAGAGTGAGGTCTGAGGCCAGGCCAGAAAAGGTCATACGGCCTGGCTCTCATAAAATGCCTGCTCTCCAGAACTGTTCTCTTGGGCTGCTTCCTCAGAATCAGCTGCTGCTATGAGAAGCCCTAGCCAAATGGAGAGGCCACACATGGGTGCTCTACTGTGGTTGACAATCCCA